CACAGTGTTGGGGATATATGACAGCTGTCACTCTCCATAGCTAAGACTTCTTCCAGTTCTACTGATCATACATTCCCTTTTCAAGTCCATGACCAGAAACCTTGGAAGTTACAGAGACAGAGCACTGTGCTCTTCCTAGTTTCTAGAACAGATGCCAGAATATTCTTTAATTATTCTTAAGAGCATCTTTAGATTTGGAACAGCAGTATTATGTCTCTGTAGAAGCTGATTACAAAGCCTGAATTACGTGCAGATCTTCCATTCAGAAAATATGAAGGTGAGAATTGGCAGCAGCAATTCTAGCACAGTTCTCTGATCAGGTTTTGTATTACTTGGTGAATACAAGGCTCATTTATTAAAAAGAAAATAATTCTGCAACAAATCTGCCTACCAACATGAGAGCTATATAGCAATCTTCAGTAGTGTAAAGTCTGCAATTACTTCCTTTATTCTTAATGATTTAATGATACTTTGTAATGTGGTGTAGTGCTTGCTGTTAAGCCGCCTGGTCTATTGCTTAGGTGATTGAGAAAACATTTTTCACACCAGTGTATTTTTCATATTTAAATACTCAGCGGGTCAAATTAATTGTCAGCTTTATGTATCTTTTTTGAAATACAGTAATACAAGACCAGAGGGGTAATACATTTGGGTTTTTAGCAGATGTGATGCTCTGATAATTTCTCATTGCCTGTTGTGCAGTATTCAGGTACTTGGAATAACCAAAACTATTCTAGCATAGCTAACAGAGAGCAAATAAATAGTGACTTGTGCTGTGTATTACCTGAAGTTTCCATTTTGTTCTGTATTCTCTCTTTCTGTACTAAGTGTGTCTTGAAGGAATTCCTTTGTTTACCTCATGCTTTCTTGAATTAATTACTTTGCAGAACATTTAAAATTATTTCTGTTGTAAATGTCGCTTTGTAAGACACTTCATAGGATTTATTTTTACATCTTCGAAGTCCACTATTATTTGTTGCTTTTGTAATTACTGTTTGACTTTTCTTTGTAGGTGAGGAATACAAGGAATAGCCAGAGCTTTCAGAATTCTTTATAGCTTCACATAGAATTTTTCTTGAATTACTTGTAGCTATTATTCCCATATTTAAAAGGGAAATGTATGTGAATATGTGTAAGCATATAACACGACAAACAGATAGCTAAGTTAATCAGCAAAGTCACTATAAAGGGTATTTTTATAGCAATGTAATTACTGTAGCAATAGTCAAAAGCTTTTTATTATGTTTATTTGAGCATGACAATTTTAATTGAGTAAAAGAACTCAAAGAATGCTGGGCTGGTCCTTACCTTAAGTAACTTCAGAGTTCAGGTAGATGTGTGATTAAGTAAAAGCTTAAAAAAAAAAGTCCAAAGGAAAGGAAAGGCATTTTTAGTTTGTTTTGTAAATACATTATGTGATTGTGTTTTTATCTAATGTAGTGGTAAGGTAGAGTTTTAGATAAGTTTTAATGTATTGTTTTTATAGCTGAATCCTGGAGTGTTTATTCTTGACATTATCACCTTGTAAACTTGTCCATGTATAAATGGAATAGAGATGAAATAACTTTCTAAATTGGTTTTCTGTTTAGCTTCCAGAAATGCTTCACGGAGATGGAGATAATGAAGAGCATGGTTATTGTCCCGTGGGGCAGTTCATTCTTCAGAATCTAGGCCTGCTTCTTGGATTTGCCATCATGCTGGTGATTGCCCTCTATGAAGATAAAATTGTGCTTGACATCGAGTTTTGACCTAATTCTGGCAGTCACTGTGGTTACAATAATGTTACTGTATGGCTTTGAGTCTGCACTGTTTCACTGTATGCACATTGCTCAGAGGAAAAGCAGTAGCTTGCACTACTTACACAAGTACAGTATATTCATTTCTGTGTCAATTAACTTCTGCTTCTTTTTTTTCCTGATTCATATCAGATGAGATTACCCAATGCATCTTCTAAACTCAAGTGACTTGACAATTAGAAAATACTAAATATGAGAAATAAATGCCAAGTTCAGTGTATTCTATAGGAAACACTGCTTGCTTAAGAAAGAAAAAGTACAGTAAATTATCTGCTCATTTGGGAAAACAGTATTTCATTAGTACATTTGAACAGAACCCAGCAAACATTACAGCTGAAATTCATACCTCTGCAAGGAACCTGAGTAAGCTTTTAGTATCTATATATGTATAGACATAGAGAGATGGATGGATATATATATATATAGATATGCATGCATATATGTGTGTGTGTGTGTATATATATATATATATATTCATTCTGTGCTGATTCTTCTGCATAGTGGTGACTTGAAGTATTAAATGTTACAACAGCACATGACTGGAAACCACTGCGCTGGTTTAAATTTTAAAAAAGAAACCCAAAACCTAAGCACTGTCTAAATTCTTAGAGTATGTGTTAAGCTGCACTCCATCATTATAAACTTCATGTGTAAGAAGGCAGGCTATTGCAGTATATGCTGCGAAGTGCTATGTTCTGTTGAGGATCAGTTTGACAATGTTTTCCTGACTAAGATTTATTTGATGTTTGTTCCTTGATATTAGTAGGAAAATGCAAAATGCAGTAGAACTAATGTTAGCCCAGGGAAATCCCTGATGCTGAAGTTACTGAGCTATTTCTGGTTCTTTTTTACAGATGCTAAATGTGTGTTGTGTGCCACTTGCAGCATAAACTACTGAAGAATTGTGGCTGTGAATTTGTGCAAACTCTTTTAACAGAGAATCCATATGGGAATTTCTCTATTTTTTTTAACAATTATTTTGGAATGTTTTCTCCTCTTCATGTTAAAAGAATCCAAAGTGCAAGATGCTAGTTACCGAACCTGGGCACAAAGGTTAAATTATACTCTGTGTATGTAGTACTGGTAGGTTAGTTACAATACTGTAATATCAGATCAAAATCTGTTCCTACAACGCCTTGATACCAGACACTGTAGCTCCAGCCATTTCTGGCAGTAGAGGGTATGTAAGAAGATTTCTACTTCCAGCATAAGGGAGTTCATTTCTATGATATTTTTTTACAGTTTTGGTATTTAAATTAGATTATTAAAAAACCAGATGTGATAGATCTGTGGTATGTGTAATTTGGAAGGCTAGACTGAAAATTTGGGCCTTAACTTGCTGGGATCAGGTGTACCTAGATTGGATTGTGCTGATATGCTTATATTGCCAGACATGGGTTAGTTCTTGTACCCATCTCCTTAAAAAAAAAAATAAATTGTGGGTTTGTGAGGAGTGCAAGTTGATTCTGTAGTACAAGTCCTAAGCATGGTAGTAGTCTTTTTTAAAACATACAGTTTGTCTTTTTTTTATGTGTATGCCAGGTAAAAGCTGTATTTTGACTATGTGCTGTAAATTTTGTTTCAGTTTGCTTGGTGCCAGTGTAGCTGCTAAAAACACTGATCTTAACGCCTTTAATGAGAGCCAGTTGGTATCTTCATTCCATTTCAAGTTTGTGTGTGTTTCCTGTGGCCCTTTACTTTTTGAAGCTTCATTGGTCAATTTAGTTTTTACTGAGAGCAGCTTATGTATTTTAAAGATATCAGTTGGTTCTTGCCAGTATTTCTTCCTAACACAGAATGAAGAAACAGTATTAAGGGTCCATAGCAAAGGGTGCAGTTTCTTCAGTGAAGAAGCTAAAAGCCCAGAGTTCAGGCATGCAGCCATTTGATGTGCTGAACTCAGGTTTTCTTTTTTTTTCTTCTTTAAACACGTTTACTGTTGGACTCCAATTAGCAAACACTGTTGTTAGCTTCAGATGACTGAATTTCTGCAGGGTAAAGATTCTGGGTGACATTTTTCACAGTGCCCATGTTAGGTCACTGAGTACCATTTTCAAAGAGACTTAACTCACTGGATACCCTCTGAGAATCTAAGTTTAAACAGCCTGCGTTTCTTTTGTGTTAAACTGACCCTTAATTTTCCTTTTCTGTTACTTTTATTGAGTATAATGAGGTAATTTTGTGGTTGAACTGATATTTTGTCAAATCATTTTTTAAAGTTTATTTCTTCTAATTCTTTTCAAATGAAGATTTCTATATTTCAGGTAGTATATTTACTTTTGTATTAGTTGGAATATGGTTATAGCTTAATACACTGCCTGTGTAGGAAACAGTTAACTTCCTTCCAAGACCATCTTCAGACAAGGGAAAAACATGGTCCTTGAAGGTAGGTACTGTATTTTTCATTGAATGTGGGTTGTTTCCATGTATTTTCTAGTATTTATTACAAGCTATGAAGAGCAGTGTAACAGTTGTGACTACTTCTGCGTTTCCACCAGTATTGAATTACAAATAATTCTAATGTACACTTTTGAGTCATGTTACAGACAATCTGAATTCCACTACATTTCTACTTGGCTTTGACATTCCATTCTGCTTGAATCCAGAGGCTCATTTAACTTGTATTCGTTGGAGGGCATAAATGTTACTTGTATATTACAATGCTGTCACTGTGTGACATCCCATATGAATTTTGATGTAGATCACATTGCACTCAGTCTGCTGTGGTTATGCTTAGAAAATACTGTAGTTGCTAGATGCAGTGTGATTTTTTTTTTCTTTCCTCTTCCATTAACAATTGAGTCTATGGTTTAAAATGTGATTATGGTCCTATAAGATAACTTGCTGAGCTATCAGTCTTTTTGTTATAACTAAATCATTTTTTAAAATTTTATAAAGCTGGAAATGATCAAATGCTGTTTTGTTCATTGTCGACAGTGTTGTGTTCATTTTATGTATGTTCCTTATACATAAGGAGCCTTCAGAAAATAAAATTATTCAAGGAGCAGGTATTTTTGTTGGCTTTTATAAGGTTTTATTGGGCACTCTTGTATTTTAGTATTTTGTTTCAAATATCATGAAAGGCACAGATGCAACATTGTAAATGCACTCATTTTGATTCCTTGTTTTATGTGGTATTTCAAGATTGACATGCATCCCTTAAGTGATCTGGAAAATGCACGTACCTCCATAAATTGGAGAGGTTTATGAGTTAAGCTGACATAATAACGCCACACCCCGTCTGATCCAGTGTTCTTGTGGTTTGTCAGATGGGAGAGTCATTGCGATGACAAAGTTGGTGGAATGGCCTGTAGTTGACAGGATCCCTCTTCTCTCGCTGGTCTTATACACTGGGGCCAGGTAACTTGGTCGCTGTGGAATGTCTGCTCTCTTACACGGCTTTAGCCATATCTGCAGTAAAGAATAAAATAATCCTTTTCATCTCAGTTTAAAAAAAAAAAACCAAAACAAAAAAACAAACAACGTAGGGAAACAGTTTTAGCTTGGCCAAAGCATTTTGACACTGTTGTTTCTTTCTTTTGTTTGCTTTTTAACAGATAGCCCTGAAAACCTGTTTATTGTTTCCTCTTTCTTAGTAGATTGTTTCCACTCCCAAAATATGCAACACCAAACTTCCCATCACTGTCATTATTAGTAGAGGATTCTCAGGTCCTCTCAGACACTTAATTTCTATTTCAACACAAAACATTTCAATTCAGTTTTGGGTTTTTTTTGTGTTAGTTCCTTCAAGACTAGTGTATTTGTTGGTATATAATACTATACAGTGTCACCAAATGAAAGATACTGACCACAGGTACTGTATCATAGAGGACTTTTGGATGAGATTCTCCTAGCTTCTTAGTTTGCCTGTTCCAGCGCGCTCCATCCAAGAACAATCCCTGAATGTAGACCCCTGAGTCAGTTGGAAAAGATACATTACACAAAAACTGAAAACGTCGTCTAGCTGAAAGCAGCAGCTAGTGTGACACACTTTGCTAACTGCCAGTTGACTGTGTGGGACTTTTTGTAAACTTTGTGTTCCAAGTGGTGATCAAATAACTTTGAGTATAACACAATCTTATACTGTACTACAATTTTTTATGATTACAATTCTATAAAGAGTTAAAATGTCTAGCAATATCATAGTGTATCCAGCCTTTTTGAGTAGTGGAGGTTAAAAATCATTCCCAAGTACAGGACACTATTTTTATAGTTGTTATTATTATAAACATTCTCTATATGTACTTTATGGTGTCAGCTTTAATGTTTCCAAACTCAGAGATTTGATCATGTAGTCTTTCACAAGTTAGTCTTCATATTGTTTCATTGCTTATGTCTCAAACTGCCACTTGCTTATACCTCTCCAAAGTGGCTTGTTAAAGAAGTAAAGAAAAAAAATAAAAATGTTTAAATGTTTAAAAAGCATAAGTATTTTTATTTTGACATGTCATAATGTCATGACATAATGACATCTGTCATTCCATCAGCTTTCCAGAAGAAAATAGTAAATTACAGCAACATCTGGTTTTCACTAAACTTGCACCTTCTTGCTCTGTAGACTGAAAGCTGTAACTTTTAAAACAAAAAAAATTAAACCTGCCCCAACAGAAAATTACTTGAAACAGACTGGAGGTAGCTCTCCCAGGCAACTTGACAAGCCCTTCTTTTTACACAACTTCTGGTCAAACTGATCCTCAGAAAAGTATTAAAAAGAGTATTGAGAACATTTCAGTCCTTTTTTCTGAGGAAGGGCAAGCTAACAAACATCCACCTAAGGTAAGTAATGTATAATGAGGTGGTTTGATTAAAAAATAGGGCTTTTTTCCCTCCCTTACAGCAGTCCCCAATGGCACATTGTGATCATATCCTTAAGATATTTTTCTAGGGATAGCTGAATTAGTATACCCAATTTGTCTACTAAGTGTTTGATTTTCCTTGGCTTAGGAAAATACTAATTGTCAGACATATATAGTAGTTGAGTGAAATAAAGTAAAAAATGAATAAATAAATTTTTTAAAAAGGCAAGATAGATATCGCTTGAAGGTTTGATCTGTTTTGGGAAACCTGGGGTAAGGAGTGTCCTGTGTGGGTGGTATTTTATATCTGCATGCTAATCCAGGAGGTGAACTAATGTCAGCAGTTCTTAAGGACTGAAATTGTATTCTGCCTCTTCACTTCTTGTGCATCTCATGGGGAGCAGTGCAGTTGTGTATGTTTTCCAGCTGAATTCAATAACTTAATTGCATAACTCTTAGTCAGCAAATTAAAGTTAACTTCTGAGTACATCAGCAAAGGCAGATAATTGCCATGCATTTACTTACCATCTTCAGGAGCAATTTCATACTCTTTATCTTCCAGCACTTCATAGTCAAATTCTAGTAGGTCTATTGGAATGGTGTATTTTCTGGCATAGTTCTGCTGGGCACCTGTTAAGAATGCTTGAGTGAAGAAGAGTCCTGAAATCCAGAAGACTGGTGGAGGTCCATTTTCATACCAGAGCTTCAGCAGCAAAAGAGAGAGGAGAAAAGGAAAAAAAAAAAAAAAAGGGGGTTAATTTTTTTAGTGTTAAGGAAAGCAAGTATCTTCTAGAATAACAGCAGAAGTCATTTCTCCCTTTGTGAATACAGAATTGTCTTTTCCTTTTCTGAAAGCAGTGGAATTTTGGATATTAGGAGGAAATTCCTTCTTGTGAGGGTGGTGAGGCACTGGAACAGGTTGCCCAGAGAAACTGTGGATGCCTCCTCCCTGGAAGTGTTGAAGGCCAGGCTGGATGAGGCTTTGAGCAACGTGGTCTAGTGGAAGGTGTCCCTGCTGATGGCAGGGGGGCTGGAACTGGATGATCTTAAATTAAAGGTCCTTTCTGACCCAAACCATTCTATGATTCTATTAAACTTCTATTGATAGGTGGGGTGGGTTGGGTTTGGTTGTTTTGGGGGTTTTTTTAAATAGCTTACACTGTGGAGGCCTCTGTATAAAATTTTTTTAAAACACCAAAATTCAATGGATTTGGTTGTAAATGTGTGAGGTCTGTAGCAATGGTGAATATTTAGTGCATGCAAGAAGACCTTTTTCAGATTGTTGCAAATCTAAGTTTTGAATAATGTCTGAAAAAAAATTGCTACAATTATCTGCTGCAGAGATTTACAATGAAGGCAACTAAACTAGTTGTCTCTACTAGTAAGTAGTTTCCCTTCCAAGAAACAAAAAAATCATTCTCATAGCTACTGGCAGTTTTCTGTTTGTACAAGTTGAATTTCTGTCCTGGATTCTGTTCAAGAAATGACACTTTTATTCATTACACATAGTGCTCTCAGGCTTGCTATAGGTGAAAGTGGGAGGTGTGTTGACTGGGTGATGTGCGTCCAAAAAACATAAAACAGAGGTTCTCTGTAAATGCAGATTTTGTTAATATCCTCCTAGACCTGGAACTGGATTCTTTTTTTTTCTTTTTTCCAATTATGATTTTTGTTCCTAGATTTTTTGTCTATCTTGGCACCTGTTCTTACAACAGGTATGGAGTAGGCAACCTTTGATGACATTAGTTTTTTTCAGTTAATGGAGATTACTAAGCCATAGAATGGTGCTGAGACTCTAGGTTCAGTTTTGGGAATGTGCACTCTTACAGGTGAAGGGTCCCCACTGATTCTCCCTAGCTTATCCAGCTTTTTTCTCCACCACTCTACCAAAAAAGCTTGGTCTTTGAATTTAACCTAAAATTCTGTGTCAAAATGTTTTACTAATTTAAGTTTGCTCACTGGAAAAGAAAGTCAACAGGATTTTTCTAAGTTCTATTTTAATTAGAAGGCCAGTTCTGTCATACAGTGTATGTCACAGTATTACTGACCTCCTGCAGCTCTCTGTGAGGTGTAGGGTATGTAGCAGAATGAAGTGCTTCATTAGATGCTGTGATGAGCAAACGGCCATGTGCCGAATTGAAATTTGCCTGTCAGTTATTCAGTGAAAGTAATTGTGTGTGTGTGTCACATTTGAACAAATCTGCATAAATGGGGTATGCTCACCTGTAAGAACTTCAGTCTACTAAGGAAGTCATTCACATAGCTGCCCAGAGGTTTGAGGCTTGGGTAAGACTTACTCATCCACAGTCCCGGAATTTTGCCTTTCAGAATGCTGTTTACCACTTCTTCCAGTTCAGCAGACATCACTACTAGCCCCTAAAAGAAATTTTTAAAAGGAAGATGTCAAAATACTTTACCTAACAGGCTTTACCTAACAGGCTTGCTTTAATGACTGAAAATCAACATAGCACTCTGTCCAACAGATGTTACCAACTTCTGTCTAAGTCAGATATGAACAACACTGAAAACAAGAACAATGGGCAGAATGGATTTCATAAAAACTTACTGCGGTCTTCTGTCGGATCCGGTAGTTATTCACTGGATTGGTTAGGGAAAAGGTCCATGGCCTCTTCTGGAGAAAACTGCCTGTACTGGAAAATTCTCCCTTGCCATCCTTCCTCATAAACATGGTCTTCCCAGAGGACTTCTGAGTTGTGCCAACTGTAAGTGCTCTTTATTATTATTTAAAGTTTCCTCAAAACTCTGCAGCGTTGCTGCAAGTGCCTTATTCTGAAGCGGCAAACTTTTCTGCTTGTAGTTTGGCTTTAATGGGGAGAGGAGTGGTGTTTGTGGGTTTTTTGGTGGGGTGAAGTCTTTTTTTTTTTTTTTTATAAATGGCTTGTCAGCCTTAAGTTACAATAGGATAAAACTGACTTTTCCTGGTTTTTCTGTATTTTGCACAGCTGTTGCTTTTGATTCCTACTGAGAACAAAACATTGACTTTAGACTGTGATATCTTAATGGGAATCCTCACTGGCTGTAATCAGCTATTTCAGCTGTTGAGATCTGCTTTCATCTGTAAAAAATTGTGTGAGGTGTTTGTCTTTTGTGCCAGTGTGGTAGAAAACCAGATGTGTGAACCTAGTTACTGTTTGTCTTACTTGCTAGCAAATCTGTAGTTAAAAATTTTCTGGTTTGGTTTCCCTACAGTAGGCACAATAATACTTTGACATTCCATTGTACTCCTATCAGTTTTAAGATAGAGATCAATAAATCAGTTCTGAATCCAGATTTTTTTTAAAGTGTTTGACTTACCAACCTGAATCAGACTTCAGGGTCAGTTCTCCAAGGTACTTGCATTAATTGCTCACAGATTGAGTCTAGGTTCTAGGTATATGCCTTTAAAGGTTATCTTCAGCTCACCTTTATTGCTTTTTGGATGTTAACACAGGAGTCCCTTATTGTCTGCAATAACTTGTTAAAGCGACCCATCTCTTGGACAAGCACAGTATTCATGCTTTGAGTATAAGTGGTTGGATATCTTCTCATTGCTGCTTCAATGTCAAAATTTGGTGGAAGTTTGCTCAGGATGTCACCTGTGACTTCATGAACAACTTCATCAGTGGATTTTGCACCACCACCAGATGCCTGAAACTAGAGAGACAAAAATTTGGATTTATTTTGAGACAAAGGAAGAGGACTTAGGGGAGAGAGTAGTTAAAATGCAGGAAAAGAGAGCTGTTATAAAGGCACTGTTTAAAAGATCATTACAGTTTCAACCTTCTTCCCCTGTGATTGAAATTAATTTGTTTCTGAGTTTCCTGTATTATTGCAGTAAATTATTAGATGAGCACTAACAAAATCTGTTTTCCTACAGATTTGTGTCCTCACGTTTTTTTGCCGAAATCCTTCTTCCTCTGTAAACCAATCTTTCTCCCTCCATCCACAAGGTACCCATCAGCACTGCTGGCTGGCCAGGTGCTGTCAAACGCACAGCCCAGTGCCAAATTCTGTCTCACTGTCCCTCAGTGTCCCTCTTGCTCCCTATATACCTAAACATAAGGAAATACTTTTTTTCACTGTGAGGGTGCCAGAGCACTGGGACAGGCTGCCCAGAGAGGTTTTGGAGTCTCCTTCTCTGGAGATGTGCAAAACCTGCCTGGACATATTCCTGTGTGACCTACTGTAGGTGACCCTGCTTTAGCAGAGGGAAGCTGGACTAGATGATGTTCAGAGGTCCCTTCCAACCCCTACCATTCAGTGATACAGTTCTTCATTTTCCTCATGAAGCTTACAGGAACTATAGTATCCCTAGGTTGTACCCGATTTACAAACTGGACTGAAACTGGCCAAGAAGTTGAAAATTGTTAAAAGCTGGGGGGGAATAGAAGATACGCAAACTGGCTGTATGATTACAGAGGCTGTTTCCATAGGAAGACAGCTGGGAAAAATACAAAACCAAAAATGCCTTAAAAGATTCTTAAGTGGAACAGCAATTTCACCAGAATGGAGATACAACACAATAAGGTACAGAAAAACTGAAAAAAAACCCAATCTGAACATACTAATGTGGAGATAAGAGTTACAGTAAGATGGGGTGTGATTTTTACTCTTTACATACCTGTGCAAGAAGAATGTTATCAAATAACAGTTGCGTTTCTGACTGATCCTTGGTAATATCAGCATTTGCGTTCATTCCAAATATCTCTGGGGAAGGATTCAGTGGAAGGGTCTTTGTATATTCAATATAGCTTTGGTACTGAAAAAAAGGGGGAAAAAAAACAACACTCTAGACTTAAAAGGAAACAGCCAAACAATGCACGGCAGGCTACAAGCTGTGTCTCAAAACCACTACAGATTTTCTTAATGCAATATAGTGTGTAAACTATGATACAAAAGGAAATACAGGGGCTGCCTGTGCCTCACAAATTAGTTTGGTCCATACTCTTACCCTGAAGCCAGGACTGGCTTTGCTTAAATAATTTCTGACAAAATTTCTGACAGCTGTTGGAAATTCTCTTGCAAAAAATCAGATGCCTAGTGCAAGGGGCTGCAGCCCTTTTCTGGGCCCACTGCTTGCCAAGTGTCTGAAGGTGTTTTGCTGATGTGTAACATAACTCTCCTGTGTGATAAATTAAGCCAATTACTACGTCCTTACTACCTCCAGCAGATACGATCAACTAATTCTCTTATGCCTATTTTATAATGCTTTTACCTTCAGCAGACTGGATTTCTCCCTTACTGTACCCTAAGTGTGCTGACTCACACAGAACAAAGTCAATTTAGTTGGTAGTTAATTGGGGTGTGTTTTTTACATAATTTCCATTTCTTAGAAGTCACTGAAACAAGTCCTAATAGAATGTGAGATGAAGCCACAAAAGTGAGCCATGACAGCAGTAAACACTGAGGCACACATCAATGTGAGGCAAGATAGATCTATTTTTTAAAAAAATAAGCTGTTGGCAATTCCGTTGTTCTGGGTTACTTACATCTCCTTCAGGAGGAGCAAAATAAAGGCCACTTGGATCAAATTTGTAATCAACATTTGTAATAATTTCCGAGGAATAGAACATGTTTAGAACATTACGGAGCGTACGCCGATCCCAGTCATCAGTGACTCTGCCACCATAATTACATTCTCCAGTCATATAGCGAAGAGCATCATATGGCACGTCCTGAAAAAAAGGCAAGTCAGTGATCTAAACTGCAGCTTAGCACTTCCCTGGACAGTCATATTCGTATCATTGTAACTTCTTTGGAAGTCATCTAGACTTCTTACTGGAAAGTTTAAAAGCTGTTATTTACTTCTGCTAGCTCATGCTTGTACAACTGACTGCCTTATCTTCAAATACTTTAATAATCATCCATCAAGTCACCCAGTATTGCTTCTTTTGAAGAATAATACCACCAAAAATTTCCATAGTAATGCAGCTGGAACTCCCTAAGTACAGGTTTATGAAGAACTTCTCCAAAATTATCTCAACTTGTTTGGCTATACATACTTATAAAATAAATGTATGCTGTCACAGGGCCATAGCTGTGCTTTTTCTTTAAAAAAAAAAAAGGTATTTTGGGGGGGGCGGGTTGTTTTGTTTTGTTTTTTTAGAAAATGAAATCAAATACGTTTAAAGTCTTCAGTTTGGGAGAAGCTGGCCTCCTCTTAGGTGCGTAAAAGGAACAAATTATGAGTGATAAGAGATAAATTGTTTACAAGAAGTCAAGGTAAGAGTGGGTGATATGCTGAGAACTGGGATAAAGCAAGCCAGATGATAAAAGTACCAAGAAATCCATTTACTACGTACAAGTTGTTATCTTTAAGGGAGAAACGTGCTTCCCTCCCTGTTAGGCGCTACATTTGCTCACAAGCTTTGGTCATATAAGGGGAGGACATCCTCTTCAGCCCACCACCTCCCCCCCCTTTCACTCTCCCACAGCAGAAGAAATACACCTTCATTAAGTTTCTTTACCACGCTGAATCACAATTTACCTGTTAACCACACTGATACCTAAAAACGCTTCAGGCTTACAGTGGTTTGAAAATAACACCCCCTTACTGCCCCCACTCATAACTTTAACAGATTCTGGCTATAATGGGTTGCTTAGGAAGCTGGAATGTAAAGAAGTGTCATATATTGCTAGAAAATTCCAGAGAGGCTTTTGTGAAACACTGTCTAGCTCTGCAAACAGGGAAGGAAACCTCACTGACAAATTTATCCAAATAGCTCAAGGTATTTATTAATCTGCAACAGTCCAGGGCCTAGTGTTATCCCTATCATTGAGTAAATCACTGTTTAGCAATTAAGTGTTTAGTACTTGCAGCAACATCACCAAGAGCTGAATCCACAGCTCCTGCCTAAAGACAGGATGAGATTCCAATGACTAAGGCAACTCTATGGAAGAAACGCTGCTATGTTCTGCATGGCAGAACTTCTAAACTGTAATTTGAAAGTTTCCCACATTAATTGTATATTGATCATGGTACACAAACCACTTAGCACCTTGGTTCCTAATTCACTGCCCTCACTAAACTGTTGCTGTGGCAGCACTCAGCCTGCATCGGTACCTGCACTAACAGACCTAGAAAGTTCAAGCAAGGACCAGTGACCCCTGAGAGAGGTTGCTGTACCTCATACTGGTCAAGGAACATGTGCAGCTGCTGCACACTGATGCGCAGGTCAGTCTCATTGAACTCGTATGGTATGTTCCAACCCAACGGTCCAAAATTCCGTCTTTCTTGCACTACTGCGTGGAAGAAGCAGAGGCCGTACAGCAATGTCTTGAACTCAGCCTTAAAAAACAAATGCAGTATAATTAATAATTCACAGCTGCTTTAAACTGTTTCATCTTTTCTCACATCCTGCACAGCGATGCTGTCTTTGAGTCACTCAAAACCCGGCATCTCCTGCTGTAGTAACATACTGTTTATGAGTCAGGGGTCGATTTTTCTTCACATACAGAGGATTTCAGCAGAAAGCCATCAAATTGTCATAAGCATCAGCTCTAAATATTCTCTTAAAAGAGTGTGAACCCTCAAAGCAATTTCATTTTTAAAGCTATAGATCCACATATAATGCAATTAATATATATGACACATGTATGAGACCATGTATCTATGATTTTTTTTTTTAAAGCATTGTTTTATAAAACATTGTTCACCCAATATTTCTACTTTTTTTTTTTTTTTTCTCATTATCAAGATTGATTTCAAGCCTTTAAAGAAAAACTTCAGGTAAGAACTTTTGTTTTTCAACTGAGAGCATTTAGCAAATTATATTACCTCATTTAGAAGAACTATGTTAGTTATACAAAAATAATGTAAACTATGCTTGCAAGCAGATGTCTCATGAAAACAGTGGTTAAGATTTTTTCCCCAAGTTTCTTTTTTTTTTTTTTTAAACTAGAGAGCTGTATTATTAATGCTATATGACAAAAATCTCAATTGAAGAAACAGACTAGCAATAAAATAAAATTTAAATTTACTTCACTACTGCCAGTAATCAAAAACCAGTTTCACTGCAGTGGAAGAGGACTATTTAATTTGGGAAGTTTTCTTCCCCCAGAGCATATACACACAGTCATCAGGGTCTACTTGAACCGATTTACAAAGTTACAATATAACACTACTAACAGGTTTTCTGCAGCTGTTGAAAAAGTCGGGATCAGATATTGGATCCATCAGGTATGAACGAATTATATTGGCCCGTAAACCTTTTGGTGCTTCGTTAGTCATCTTCACTCCATTCTGAAGTACAGAGACTGGGAACGTGGCAGAAGGGTAACTGGTGAGCCAAATTCGGAAATCTGGATGAGTTGTATCAGGATTTAGCTCCTACAATAAACACATATGAAAAAAGGCAATTGGAAGACACTATAGATTAATATACACCTCAAGCATTATTATTAAAGCTTTTTATTTTTTTTTTTTTAAGTGGGAAAATATACCAGTCCAAAGTTTAATTTCTTAAATTCTTCTATGTGATTATAGTGGAAGTCAAGAGTTATGAATAACAAGCTTCCCTTCTACAGCTGCTGTATTTTGATTCAAGCTTTCAGTATTTTGAACTAGTATTTGTCCTCTCTGTGCGTGTTTGTGAAATACATGAACAAAACTAAGCGCAGGCTCTGTACCACAAGAGCAATGGAATGCATACTTTGCCCATTTACTGCATTTACTGTCATACAGCTGTTCTGGGAAGGACTATAGTAGTAATGTGTTATGTTTATTAAAGGGGAAAAAAAAGAAAGAGATATACACTAGTAACTCTTTGTAAACCTATAGCCATTCAAGAGAAACTCCTAAGCAAACTGCTTTTCTGCAGCAACTGACGTACGACGAAAGCTCTTGGCCTGAAGAGACTGTTGTAGCGGCCTGGATATACCATTCAAGGAATGGGGCAGACCCACCATGTCCGTGAGCACGTTCTACTCCAGTAGGCAGAAGGAAAAGGACAGAAGCAATATGTGATGACTACCCTTATGTAATGGGAACTGTCATGAAGTATGCTAAGCTGGCTTTTCAGTCACCTGTATGGATCAGACATGCCTTCAAAAGTGTTTATAAGAAGATAATAATTATTTTTACCTCACAGACTCTTTCCAGTATAGGCATCCATGAACTCGCTAGATGGCAATTTTGTAGAACTACCCATGTTCCTTCCTTTACTGCCTTCTCTATCATGTTCATGGCTATTGGGCCTTGGCCTTGACCAAGTGACAGAGAACTAAGCTTTGCACCACCATATCCCTGCATATAGAAAGAGTATAATAAGTAAGAATAATATTGCATAAATACATTAAACCTTCTGGTATAAGAGTTCACATCTATATGTATTCTTAAAATATATAATGTACAGTATATTTTAAAATACAGTTTAAATCTTTTTTTTATTCCAGTTGAATATAATTTCTTAACTATCTTCAAGTGAAAAGTTCTAACTACACATCAATTTAATCCAGAACTGTAGATTCCAACAGTTTCAAAATACTCCTGAAAACAGTATGCTCTTTAAGGATGTAGCAACGTACTACAAAATGCAGGATACATTTACAGCTTGGTGGTCGGAGACTTGAAGTACGTCTGTCATTCTCAACAGCACAGAATTCTGACAGAGTAATAGTCAGGAAATGCATAAAATGCATCTTACCAGCAACTTTCTAGTATTATAAGAGTACTCTTCTACATAAGAGATTATTTAGGCTGTTGGCAATTTTTTGTTTAATAATGACAGTCAAAGCCAACAAAAATCCATATTTGAATTCTGAGAAGTAGATGCCACCCAAGATCCTAAGATCCTGTATTTTGTATTGCTACAGAGTTTTAAAGTAATATATGACACATAATGCTTATTAGAAAAAAAAAAAAAAAGGATATTTTCAAGTAAGATGCCTTACAATGAACATTTAAACCATTATGGTTTTGTTCCATTTTTCCATTTTCCAGACTAATTAGTCAAATAGATCATGACATCACAATATTATAAAATATGCCAAAAATATTTAATGTACAATTTCTTACAAACAATAAACAAATTATTCATTCCTAAAAACAATCCACTTGTTAGTGGATGAGATCAATTTTAACATGTTTCTGTGTTGTTAAAAACAGGTTTTTTTAACTTATTTTGGTACTTCAACTTTTAGTTAAATACAGTTCCTTGCTTCATACAAACATACGCACATGCACACACATACAAGCATCAACTATATTTAAAAAGTCTGGAGATGTTAAAATACCTGATCATCAGCAAACTTCACAAGGGCTGCCATGGGGTCAGCACCAGGAGAAAGTATAAATATCAGTGGTGCACAAGAATGACTATCAGAAAATGCTTTTGATAAATCAAACGGAGGTGGCTCAATAAATGGACGGCCCAGGTTGTGAATGATAAATTCCTGCACCATTGGTATTATCTTTAAAAAAAGGAAAAATAGAATTGAAGTGTGCTATTATTGCATAAGCATTAACACATATTACTCTAAACAATTTAAGTTTCAAGGACAGTATTCCTGCATATAAAATTAGATACAAATACAGCCCCAGAGGAATATATTATTTAGCATGTGTAAATCTAGCCAAAAATAAGCTCAAAGCTCAAAGATGCTCTAAGAGGGTTGAAATTGCAAGTCCTATGCAAATGATCCTTAATCACATTTCTGTCACCACATCTGGACAGACTAATGTGCTGGTACAGGAAGACAGATTTTTTTTCTCCACTTACTCCATCTGCATTAGGGAGAGAATTTCAATTTTCAAGTCTTATAATGCAACACCTTTCAAAGGTGTTGAGATCTTGGCTTAGAAAACTGCTGTGTACAGCCGACTTGTACACACTGGTGTTTAAACTTCCTACTGAAGTTAACTGGGCTCATACGAGAGACAAACGACAGCTTAATGTTTTGATCCTCTAAACCCTTACAGACATAATTCTTTTAAACTCTTCTAAATTCTTTTAACCATCCATTCTATCTCTGGACAGATTCTAAAATATTTTACAATAACTACCTGTCCTTTAAAGAAATGCAACAGTATTTGCAAATGTGAAACTACCATTTAATCTCTGAACATGAAATTCAAGAAATGCTAAGGGTTTCAAATAGCAATGTTAGTTCAACCACTTTGGTCACAATCAGTATATTTTTTTTAAATTTTACATATAAAATTGCTACATTCATAACTAGAGTTTTTAACTTGCATTTTTGTCATTTCAATTATTAAAATTGTAATTTTCATACTGTATTAGCATAGGTGCTTTCAGTTAATAAATACATAGTGTGACCGAGTACACAGAATGCGACACACAAAAAAAAAAGCTCCAGTAGCTTCATTTCTCTTGATTGTTCTGCTCATAAACTCACCTGTGTTTTTACTTTAAAACTTACCCTGCTTTACAGGTGACATGTGTCACCAATTAGTATAATGCCTTAAATTTGAGAGCTGGAGGGAGGCTCTGGGCTATGCTAATTGCAGGCTTTGCAGATGGAGATACTCTTGAAAGAGCTTGGTTTGGCTTCGAAGCTCTTGAGTGATTTTAAGGATATGTATGAATATGAGAACCGCTTACAAACCTTCGCAAACTGGCCTTTTAGAGAGAACTGCAAGTGCACACCAGAGAATGTAAGTCTGAAAATGGTTATTTGGACTATGCCTTATTTTTTATATACTGCATGAATGTGAAATCATTGTTAAGTATATTAATGTTCAAGAAGAACTGTGAGTTTCCACTCAGCCCAAAGAAGGTGAAAAGTTGAATACTCCAACTTTTCTCTGTTTGCTGCTCAGAAATACTGTAGTAGGATGACTGGCTTTTCTGCATGTTCACTAGTTTAGCTACAGAATTGAATGTAGTTACTTTTCTTAGTGTTTTTTTCTTGTTGTTGTTGTCACTTTAAAGTTAACTTAGTGTACTATGTAGTCTGATTGCAAATTTTCATTCATAAAAAAAGAAGCATATGTTAGAATAAACAGGTACACATCCAGCAGGAAGGATGAAGTAAGTAGATGAATGATCACTACTTAAAATTCCAAAATTGAAATTATTTAAATTTTAGAAAACTTAATGTTTATGTCCCTTCAGGCTTTGACTTGAGTACTAAAAAAAATCCACCTGACTTCTACTTTGGCACACACATGAAACTTTCAGGCTGGATCTCAGATGAGTCAAACTGCAAGGTGTTATCTGAGAAGGTGTGAAGTTTGGTAACTGAAACAAACTTAGTTAATTTTTAGCGTTTTGACCAGATATGATTCTAAAGTGACAGGAAAACATAGACGTTAAAGGTGCAGCGTTTTACTTGGATAATTTCTGTTTAAAGGCTCTCTGTCTGTGGTCTTATGCTATGTTTTTTCTCTGAAAATATTCTTTGAAGACCTGGCTATGGCAGATTTTATGCACTGGTTCTGAAATGCCTGTGTAACATGGCATCTACCAGATCTCATCTGGTAGAACAAAGTAACTCTGGTAGCCTGCAGATACCACAACTACACAGGAATCCCTTCACTACTGTAGCCTCTTCCTTATTCCTTTACTAGCTGTTGATTTACCTGCTTGCAATCCTCACACTTAAAATTAATTTTTCAGCCTGATCTGTGCTGATAGACGTTGTGGGGAAAGACATTATTTGCAAGCTCTCAGAAACAGTTTGCTGTTGTGAACGTGAGCAGTGTGATGGATGAGGTTCTAAACTTCTAAACTGTCACCTGCAGATGGCAAAGGCGGGCTTTGTCCACTGTCCAAATGCAAATGAACCAGATGTGGCAAAATGTTTCTTTTGCTTGATAGAACTGGAGGGCTGGGAACCAAATGACGACCCATGGTAAGCACAGATGTAACAATGTTCTCGAAGTATACCACGAAGCTTGTTTGATAACATCCCCTCACTCATTATAAAATTACTGATTTCTCTATAACAGTTCACAAACTGAAGCCTATCAAAAGTTTATCTTATCACTAGCCTTGAAAAAGTTCATCATTTGTTAATTACATACCATGAAATTCTTCATAGTTCTTTCATTTTGCCTCCAAAGAGAATGCTTTTGATTCAACAAAGTAGAAAATAGTTTTTCTCAACATTGTGAACTCAGTCTAAGTCTTCCCTGGTATCTTCTGGCTAGCTTTTACCTAAGATCCACTAAAATCTATTTCATATATTTTTGGTATCATACTTTTTCTACTGATAGACAGCAGCAGTACTGAAAAGACCTGTCTGTTCAGATTTCTTTATCTCTTGAAATGTAACTTTAATGGTTTTAATATCTCCTCTTTTTCTGGGTTTATGTTGCAGGGAGGAACACACCAAACGCCACAGCTGTGGCTTTTTATCCCTTACTAAGCACTTTGATGACCTGACAGTAGAGGAGTACTACATGCTAGAGATGACACGGCTGAGAACCTTCCTTGTAAGTGTTAACTAAATAATCTTAATATAAGATGTGAAGCTAGAATGTAAACAAAACTTCCATCACTAAGATTTCCAAACATCAGCAAGGAGTGATTGTTTAAGGCTAGAACATGGCTTATTCTGAAGTAATTATTTACATGCATTATTGGCTAAGAAATCTGCACCTAAATGCTTCTCAGTGTACTCTGTTGTCTAGCTTTTGAAGGAAAACCTGTTTCCTTTAGAACTGTTTTCCCAGCAACTCATTACAGCAGAAAAAATATCTTGGGTGCAATAATCAATCAAGCCAGGAGGGTCTACAATAAGTGGCTCTACCTTTCTCAGGAGGGATGAACACCACATGTGAAAAGACAAAATTTGACCAGATCATTGCTTCACATTCCAGTTTTACAAGTAAATCAGTCTAATGAAGCTTTCAAACTTTAAAGCCCATTTCAAATGTTTTACAGTTATCCAGTTTTACTCACAGAATCACCTAGATTGGAAAAGACCTTTAAGATCAAGTCCAATCTTTAACCTAACACTGTCAAGTCACTGACTAAACCATGTCTCTAAGTACTATGTCTACAAGCTCTTAAATACCTCCAGGGATGGGGACTCCACTACTGCCCTGGGCAACCCCTTCCAATGCCTGATAATCCTTTCAGTAAAGAAATTCTTCCCAATATCCAATCTAAAATGCCCTTGGTGCACTTAAGGCCACTTCCTCTAGTCCTCCCTACTTCTGGGATTTCATGTAAGCCATAGTGTTGACATACAAAAGCACACAAACTGAGCTGCTTCAACTAGTTGATCAAAATCAGCTGATCTTTGATATATGACCCCTAATCCTATGGATAGTAAGAATAAAGTGAACTAAGTTTCCTGATGAGGCACAGTAATGGTTCTGCATCTTACTTCCTGGTGGGTTTGCACAAGTAAGATCTCTGCCTTGCTGATAATGTTCCACTGAAAATATACCTAGTTACTGTCAAGGTTAAGTATTTAAGTTCCCTATAAAGCAGACTTAAATACATAAAAACAAGATCACATGCTGCAGTGGGAGCAATCTGATATCTTAAGGTGGACTAAGACTGAGATGATGATGATTTTATCTAACCTGAACAGCAAATCATTTAGAGCAGTGTTCCAAGGTACAAAAAGGGTCTTGGCCAAAATATTACTTTTTTTCTGTGTACAGCATATAGAAAACTTGAAGCAGCAGCTTCAAGTTGGGACATTTTGTCCCCAAGGATACTGTCACCAATAGCTTGAAGGGCTACACGCTAGGGCTGACCCGTGCTGCTATCTTGAAATATCAATATCCTAATGCATCCTGAGAAGCAAGATCATGCCTCTTCACACAGCGAAGAAAATCAAATTGAAGTCTCCCTCCCTGATATGATTTAAAATACAGCTAAACATTAGGTTCACAATTTACTTTCAAAGAAAAAGTATACTAGACATACCCAAAAGTGGTCACTGAACTGAACCCTATTAGCAAGACTGGTGGTGGAGTTTCTCATTCAAATGGGGGTATGCACATGAAATACCTGCCAAACTGCTCTGCACCCTTCAGACAGCAGTATTGATGACCATAGCCAAAAGTAGACTTCTAAGCTAGAATTAGCGGCAGATCAGTGGGTTTTTGAGGATCAAAGTTTTGAACATAGCTCAATTGGTCAGTTAAATTGCTCAACTGAAAGTCTCAATATTTTGCTTTGCTTTAAGTGGAAAACTGGCAGAAGCATAATAAACTCTTTTGAAGAAGAAGTCGCCGCAACTAGGCAGCGTCTTTTGGATAACTTTGTCTCCAGGCATCAGTATACACCACCGCTGCCAGTGCCTCTCCATGCTGATCCATCTGCCCAACATTCTGAAAGCTCATGCTGCCAGTCAAAAATAATCCTGGAGAAGTGAAGTGTAAAGTCTAACTCTATATAGTTTCTCTTCTTTACAAGGTACAAAGATTCATATTTTTATCTGAGTACTAATATGCTGAACAGTTGTGTGAGGAAGTAGAGAGAACTCCTTTATAACCTCTCCGAAACAGAGGCTGTAACTGTTTATACTAACTCTTTCACAATGTGCTTTGTTGTTATGGCTAGGTGTGGACTAATAGTAGTCCTGGTAACCTGCGAATCTATGAAAACTGTCTAAGCAAATACTTACATTCTGGTTTTTAGTAGATTGACTTTTTTGAATAAAGATTCACAACTGTGAGCACCTATTGTGATCTGTGCAACATTCAAACCTTACAGCTGGACAGACCCAAATCAGAACAGTTCTGCTGCAAAACACTTTCCATAGAACAAAATGGGTATGTCTGCAATAATTGTGACCTTTAAGCACTGACACTGTCTACATACTTCCTTACCATTAAATTATCTTCCTAGATCAGACAAAATTTACCATGGGTAGTGACATTCATCAAAAAAGTTACATAAACAAAAATAGTAGGTATAATGAAAAAGAACAGTCAGAAGGTTTGTAAGACAGTCTCAAGAGCTCTGGGGGCTTTGATGTGTACAATCAAACTTATCAAAAGCTAAAGATCTACTCTTCCATGTTTAAAATTTTTTCATTACAGTTTCAAACTTGCTGGTTTTTTTGAAGTCTTATTTTCCTTTATGATAGATTGTTGTAGAATGGCTGTAGATGACATAGTTGAAATGCATACTTGCAAATACTTTTGGTTTCTAAGATGGACAGGCCTCTCTGAATAAGGTGAAAGTTTTGTACGTACTTTGTCAGGTCTCAGGCAGCGAATGATAAGCATCCTTTGGAACTCCCCCAACTTTTCTTGCCACTCTGCAGGTAAATCCTCATGCTGGGGATCCTAAAAACATATGCATTTCAACATTCTTTAAAGTGTTTCTGAATTACCTATAGTGAGAATAAATTATCTTTTAACTTGACACACTAATCCATTACATATCTTTTTCTTAATCTACAGAAATGGGGTTGGTGTACTTACAGCTCGGGGTTTTTTGGGTTTTATATGATTAGCTAGGAACCTTCTTTTATAGCAAAGAAATTACAGTAATTCTTAAGTGTATAGCAATTTTTAAGATAATAACCCAAAGTCCTTCTCTAGAAAGTGGAGAAGGAATGAGATGGAGGAAACCTGAAATTGCACTTTATATCCCTGTTTCTGTTAGAACTGAATTGTGCTGTCAGTCTTCAATATTACAATGATAACTATATAATCAATGACAATTACATTACAGTATTACACGATAACTATGAGTTAAGTTGCATCTGAATGCGGAAAATGAGTGCAGGAAAACAAGATTTAGAACGTTAAGTCAAACAATGCACCAGAGAACTTCAGTTGTAAATGGCCTATGAATAATCCAGCTGTTATGCTGTTATTGCAGTTGTCAGATTGGGAACAGCAGTGGTTGTGTGGCATGTTAACTTCTTATTAGACTGAAGCAAAATGCCAGCTAGGTATGCCTTTTTGGAAACTGGTATTACAGCTCTGCTGATGAGCCTCTTGGGCTTGCCTGTAGAGGGTTGAGCACAGAGGTATGCAGACAGACCTGCACAAACAGCATTCTGAGCAACTTTGATTTAGCAAATCAAATCACGATGGAGTTCATGTTCTGCTAAGGATCTGGAACCTGGCTCCCTCCTTCTGCAACTTTTAGGCACTGAGTTTCAGATTGGAATCCAGAATGCTGCATTATGTTTATGCTAATACAGGGGGAAAACAAGTACATCAGAATTGACATCTATAACAGCTGTTGAAAAGTCTGGCTAAAATTTTGCAAGCTTTGTAGAACTGAGTGAATTAGGAAACACTGAGGAGTGAAAGTTGCACTGACGTCTACATTGAGCTATGCCACTGTGCAGAAAATGGCTCACTCTTCCATGAGAAGAGATGTATCAGTATGGCTGAGGAGAATTGAGTTTCAGTCCCTACTCCAGGATATGCGTTACAACTTAAGATAAAATACATGGAATACTTGAATTGGGGACTTGAAGTTATGTCTCCTGTACTTTTGGAGACAACCATCTGCAACAGTAGGAGGAGAAAAGTGCATCTTAAACTCCTTTGGAAAACGTTCATAACCCATATTCAGTGTATGGTTACTGATGATGAAGTGGCTCAAGCAACACTGATTTTTGTGCCCTCTCTAAGACACATGCATTAAACTGCCCTTTATTTAAATCTGTGTATCACTAACAAGACAGGAGAAAGAGCTGGTTGCATATTACTACGGATAAACTATAGTGGTGAAAAAAAAAATACATCTATCGAAAAGGAATCTTCCCCAAGACCCATCTTTGAAAATTCCAGTATATTCACTTTCAATGAAATTAGTATTAAAGCTATATAGGTAATGAAAATGGCTTCATATAACAAGTAAAAGGCATAGCAATTCTTCTGTATCAGGACAGTGATAGATGATGACATTCCTCATGATCAAGCACTCAGGGTTTGGTAACTGAATGTTCCTGGCTTCAGTGTTACTGTTTATTAGATTCTTTATCAGTTAATAGATGACCTGATTCTATAGATCTCATTTTATTGACTGCCACTTAAATGAAGAAACCTCTTTATTTCAATTTGGTTGTGTGAATGCACACATACAGCTATCACACACATCTTGAATCTTTACCTCTGAAAGTCAGCACTTTATATTGGGCATTACTTTTAAAAGCTATAACCTCAAAGCGCATGACAAAGTAGTGCCCTACCTCAATCTCTTTTTCAAAGGCCAGCATTTCTCTGTTCATTTTCCAAGCAACTATTTCCCAAAGAAGAACTCAGCCCTCAACTTGCTGAATCTTTTTGTAAATGCTCAAGGAAAGCTTTATCTCTGCTGTTCGCCTGTTTCCTGCAATCTGGACAACCGAAGGAGCTGCAGCTGCTTAGTCTCTCTAATGTCTCCCCAGTTATATATATATATTAAAAAAAAAAAAAGTCTCTCCAATAATTTCCAACCAAAAATCCATTCTTTTCCTCTCTGCCTACTTTAAACCCATTTGTTAAATAAAAAGAGTTTCTACATCCTCAACATTTACAATAAGTAAACCACAAGCAATTAATCTCTTTGAAATGGATTAAGAAGTGCTAGGTCATTTGACTGAATATTGGTGATAAATTTTCATAATTAACAGTGAGAAAACTTGTTCAACTAGAACAAAAGGATAGTGTTATCTGAACAGTGGAAGCGGCTATGGACAGATACAGTGCAAGTAGGAAAGAAGGATAACTTTTTAAATCATTTATTCAGATGGTATGTGTACTATGAGCACTTTGTTTATCAAGAAGCATAAGGGGAAGAAGTATGATAAAATAAAAAAAGGAGTTAATAGTAAGATTAAAGATGAAGCAAGTGTCCCAATGTGGAGTAAAATGAATCTAAAGAGCCTAGATTTTAAGGAAACAGTGATGAAGACAATGCATATATATCAGATCACTGACAGAACTGGGAATAGAACATAGGTCTCCTGAATCCCATTGTAGCTTCTCTACACATCAATAATTGGGGTTTTTTACACTTATCCAGGAAAGCAGCATGCTACATAATAGCATGAAAAGGCATCCTCAAAGCACAGTAAACAAATGTATAGACTGACAAGGGACAGTTGTTGCCTTAAGTTTAGCAAATTTCACTATCACCTTACCATTCCAGGTTTTTTTGCCTTTTTTTCCTATCTCAATTCGATTCAAATAATTACTTGCTATTCAGAAGCCACCTGTCAAATTAGCAATAACCTACTACTACACACCATTTGCTTATTTACATTCATATGTGTAAGAACATACTATGTAAAATGACAGCACTTTCTTTTCCCTGAATAAATATTTTCAACATGTACATTAGCTAATAAATGCAAGCAATCAGGAATGTTAACATACCAAGCTGTCATATACCAATTTCCACCCATCCTTCAGTCGTGTAAAATCCGTACGAATGTTTGTGAAGCCTGGCAAATCTTCTAGTCGACAAATTTCATCCCATGATTTTGGAGGAAGCCAGGTACATGGATTAGAAAAGGGATTGTCCAAACCAATGCCTCCAGTCAACAGAAATTTCCACTCATTTTCATTAATCTACAATGAAAAACACTGCTCTCAGGACTAAATACATAAAATCTAATGGGTTTAGTACCTTATGTAGGATAACAATACATTTATCTGAATTCCTGCATTAGTTGAAAAGCTTTCATTAGCTTATTTCCAAAGTATTCAGTGTCTGGTTTTCAGTTAAACATGGATTTAAGGAATCAAAAATCCTAAGATATGAGCCAATTTAAAGATTCAGCTGAATTCCTTGCTTGGGGAATGAACAATGTTAACTGATTCGATTTTTAGACCCATTCTTCAAATTCCAGAATGTTGAAGGAAAAAAGCACTGGAAGTATTTCAGGGAAGCATACATTTTGAAACCTTTTCCTATAATGCAAGTCTTTCTTAATAGGAAAAAGAAATACCAGTCTATTACATGTCTTATTCCTTTCTCAACATTCCTTCATCTCAAAATTTCTTTGATGGCTTGAATTTTTAAACTGAAGTTTCTGTGAATGGGAGACTGGTGTCCCATTATTATTACTCTCAGCTCTTGAAAGAATTCATTTCTATTTATTCCACAATATAAACATTTCAAAAGTTTCCAAAATTTTCAGTGTTTCCATATTACATTGAAAGAAACGACTCCAAGCAACTATAAGTACTGGTTTGCAGATGATATGGTTAAAATGCATGTATTTCATTATGAATGTAAAAAATCCTAGTAAATAAATATTTTTTAAAGAATTAATAGAAATTAATAGAATTCAGTTGGTACAAGGGTTTGATTTTGAGGAATTCTATGGAAAAATAAACACATTTAGCACCTTAAGTGAAATGGATGAGTAGTTTCTTAAATCAATGATTATTATTCATTTTTATATGCTCTTAGAACTCAGAATACATTACAGTAAAATTTTGTGAAGTGTTCCCTGTAAGAATCGCATAGGCTGGGCTTTGGTTTAAGTAAAGTTTAGAAAAACTGTTATCATCTAGCTCAGTTTTCCCATACCTGTTTGTTACATATTTATTTTATTCTAAAGAATCTTTTTCAATGCTTATAATTGCTTATTAAAATGAAAATAAAACACCACAAAATTGAGACTTAAGTAATATAATTATATATAAGCCCGCTTTTCTATTGTTAATCCTGGACAAACCTATTACTGATAGTTTGTATAGGCAGTTTAATATATATCATATCAAGCTGCAAATTATTTTAAATTACTGACCAATCTTTCATATTTCAGGAGATTCACAGTTAGACAAAATGAGAAGAGTAGCTTGTCCTTTTCAAAAAGGGAGCGACAGACATTGACATAAAGTGAGTAAGTAAAATGATCCTTGAGAATCTTCAACCTACAGGTGTCGAAAAAAGAACAATGTTCCATTAATATCACTCTAAAGAAATCACTATTACAAACCATTTAGATCTCCTTTGTTCTACTAAACTCTCTAGTCAGTTACATGCATTAAATGCATGTACCATTCCATGAGCAAAATAACATAAATATTTAAGTGCAATTACATCTTAGTAACATGTGATTTTCAGAGGAAGTGAGAGATCCCTTTTGGGAAGTGTAGAAAAGAACAGCAATTTTTAAATTCATTATGAATATAAATACCAGGGACAAAATCAAAACAGTCCATCATTAAAGGTTATCTGAAATATGTCTCCCATTCTACAGAGTGTTTTCCTTAATACACTATAATACAAATATATTTTAAACTCTGTGATTTATTATTAAAAATTTCCTTTAAATATAAAGCAAGGAGGCCGGCTATCATTTTATAAACATGTAAGTTTATAATATCTTGAATGCCTAGTCAAAATAAGGAAAAGTCCATTCAGGTGGTCAGAACTGCAGTGTCTGAATTTACACAACTACTTCAAAGACTTCTTTGAAGGTAATAACAGAAATGTAGAGTGGTGCTAGGGGTTTTTTGCAACTACTCAGGTCACCAGTCCCTTGGCAGGGAGCTACTCAGAGGGTATTCCTGCAATTCAGACATGTTGATCATTCAGAAACCTAAGTCTGATCTGTTATAATTGAAAAGTGGAAAGCTTTTGACAGAAGATCGAAAGCAAGCTATGTTGTTTGATCTGTGCCTCCTTTTCAGTCTTGTATTTCAATCTATTTTTGTTTTCTTCCATTCAGCTAACAAGAAATAGACCATTTTAAATAATATTACTGTAATATAGAAATGCTCCTGGTTTTTTATTAGCATTTTAAGTCCTTTCAAAACTAGTGATTCCTCATCAGTTAAATGGATATACATACAATTTATACTGACACAAAGATGGCCATGGAACAAAATGTAAACTTCTTTCAAGTTACAGAATTAACATGGTTTGCATGAGAAAAGAATGATTACAAAAAATTCTCAGCACAGAGCCTGTAGTAAAAAAACTGACTAGTGAAGACAGCCTAACACAAACAGTCTTATGTGAATTATTAATTCACAGAGAATTTTCTATGAGTCTGTCTTCCTCTGCCTTTACTGGGCAAAATTAGCAAAATGGACTTATACCAATCTTTTCCTGGGAATGTATACTGTCTGCTGGGATTCATCTCCTGTATCTTTATTTTTCTGCTGCCAAAAAGGTTCTGAATCAAAATGAGATTATTTATTGCCTACTTTAATTTAGGCGCGGCACACAGGCATACAGAGATATAAAAGAGTAAGATACAAAGTCAAAGATCTAGGTTTATAGAACACAAGTTGCCTTCTTTGTAGAAGGCTACCTTGAATGTAGTTTCAAATATGATACCAAAATATTAAGCTCTGACTTAAATGATTAGTAGCAATATCTCTGATAAAAGTTATACTAGACTTAGATTGCCCAGACCTTGACTAAATTCTAATGAAAAAATAACCTTCATAACCAGTATACCACTAAATTGCACACCACATATTAAACTACACACTAAGTACTACCTTACCGGTTACTACAACTTACTTGTATTTAAAGAAAATATGGACAGTAATTGATAATTCAGAAATTGCTATTTCCAATATTAATCAGAAAAATTTTCTATATACATATTGGGAGAGCAGTTTCCCTCTCCCATCCTTTGTTCATTTGATGAACAGACAAGTAGCTAAGTAACAGAAGCAATGCTCTGTGCTTTGAAGATCAAATAAAGCCACTAAAGTAGAATTTAGTAACTGACGGGATAGCACGCTGAAAAGCCTTCTTTAAACAATATCTGTGCAAATAATTCACTTCAAGGGTATATTTTGAATAATCCTAATGTGATCATAATAGTGAAGTCCATCATATGTAAATTAAACTCAGATCATTAAAGACTACACAGTTTCTCCTGTTCCCATTGTCTCATTTCCCAAACCACCACACTCATGAACAAGCTGGAAGAGGGAGGGACATCTGAAGTATAAAACAATAATCAAACTGAATTTTAAAAATGGTTAGGTTAATAATTACTGCCTTGCACACTCTACAGCCAAGAGCCCTAGTCACAAGACTTAATTCTCTCTCCCAGTTGTGTGAAAAAGTTTATCATCTGTTTCTTAAAAACTTACAAAGTCACTATATGAAACTAAACATAAAAACAAAGCAAGTGGACCATTTTTACCTAACTGGAGACAGCAGTTACTAAATAGAAATAGTGGAATACGTTGCACTGTTAATATACTGTGCTGAATAAATTATTTTCCAGAAAAATATCCGACATATATATGTACAAAAAATATTTCAAATATTATTTCAATGCCTGAGACAATACACTTCAGAGAAACGACAGTAACATTTTTGGAGTAGCTATGAATACATTATCAATTACAAATGGCAAATTATCACTCTTACCTTGTTTGTAAAACTTCTGATCGCTCCGAATTATCTATAGACATGATAAAAAGGTTAATAAACCACATGAGTGAATACTGGTACATTGGCTCAATGTTGGCTAGATCAGCAATAGAAAAAAACAAGATTGACGAATGGATAGCAATAGGACGATAGCCCATACGAGTAGCATCAATCTTCTTTTCTGTCTCTTCAGCTAAAGCTTGCTTTTCAGAAATCTCATTAGCCAGAACTTTGGAAGAAGACAATATCTTAACAGCAGTTTCATCCTCCAAAATATTTCCTTCTGAGGCTGAAAGAACTTCTAAAATCTTGTCTTCTATTTCTTTTAGCTGCCTAAAACAATATACAAGATTTTTGACATATTAAAATTACAGCTGTTCTCTGTTAGTTTCTATAAAATAAGACAATGTGTAAATTCTATTCACAGTATGCAACTTACATAACAGTTCTTCTTATTATTAAACATTTCTGAAAAATTTAGACACTTTCAGGTTAAAAATGGACAGCAAAGGGAGGAAGTGACAAACCACTCCGAATACTACACATTCCATGCTTTGACCCATGGGTAAAGATGCCCTTTGCCAAGTACAATCAGTGCAAATCTAGCACAAAATGAAAACATTAATATGTGATCAAAATTTGTGAGAACAGCAAATAATATGCCAACATCATGTAAGGAATGCATAAAAACAGAGGACAGGATCAAGGGTTACATTTTGCAATTACACAACCTGCAATTCAGCTCTTTCATGTTTTCTGCTAATCCCAGAAATAGGAAACCGTATCAGAAGAAGAAAGGCACAACCAGTAGGAATGTGAGTAAAAGCATGCATCCCAATCAGCATAAAAAACCAAACAGAAGCTCTCAAAAATAGCAGTCTTGAAACTCATGTTAAATCAAACCAAAAAAAGGGCCTCTGAAATGTATTTCCCATGAGTATTTCCTTAAACCACAACCTGCTTCTATCCCTAGCAAGGGGAAGTTATCTTGATACCTTTTATTCTCAGCCCCTTGAAGGATGAGGGCTTGTTTTTCCTCTTCAAGATCTGGCCTCTCTCTTGCAACTACAATTCCAAGAAGCTGATCCTGTATTCCTTCTGAAGTTATCATGAAGTTCAGTAACGTTACCTGTTAGAAGAAATATTTTTATGGCTAGATGCACTTAAAACGCTTCTTCATTTACAAGATGAGGTTTGTATAATACACTCAAACAAACTTTGAGAGTAAATGAGTTGTAACTGTGGGTTTAAGATTATGTGTTGGAAAGCTAACTCCAGGATTAACTAGGAAAGTTAACCACGAAAGGGATAAGACAAGAATGTATAGAATTTCACACTGAAATTTTAAGTATCAATGCTTCACGTAATTGGTCCATATAACATGAATGAACACAACTGCATCTGCCACAAATATTTTCTCTCTTTAACGACCTTGACACATGCAATTTGCGGTGTTATTATTTCAGGGATATTTGCAACCTAGAATTAGGATAGCATCACATTCTCTTTTTCATGAGAAAATAAGTGACGAGAAAAAAAAAATACTGTTTAAAAGAATACCCATCCCATGACATATTTACAATAGATCTGGAAAAACACACACAATCTTGCTGAAGAACTGGCAAAAAGGTACAGTATTTTACATGAGAAAGGGACAGAATGCATTACCAGTGGAAGGCTAGAAAACAGTTTGATGTATGTAGTTCAAAACTAAGAAAATAATCTACTTCTTAATCATCAAGACTGATGATTAAGCCAAATGACTAATAACTACAAATATATATCTATGTAATGTAAATACATGCAAAAACATGACCTGTGTCTCTTTGGAAGCTTCACTATGTAAGTCACATCAGAATTCAGTACAATCTTTTTCTGTGAAACATGATAGCCACATCAATAACCATTTTCCCAGGATTCATTTCATTAGCTAGCTACTGAATAATCCTCAGGACAAATTCACCAATGGATGTTGCAATTAACTTCAGATCAAGCCATTTAGATATTACTTTTCTGCCTCCTGCTCCCTGTACGTGAGCCACCTCTAGTCAGCTAGCTCAGCAGTGTATGGTGTTGCTGGGTGTATACCCAACCACGTCATGAAGCAAATGCTTCTCCTTAGAGCAAGTATCAACTTAAGTCTGCATGGATCCCAACTAGAGAAGATTCATCTTTAGAAACTTTATATTCTGAGGGGAAAAAAAGAGAAGACTGTTGACTGTTGATTAACAACCAGGACATTTTAATTATCTGTTGAAGAAAAAACTTTTCATAGGAAATAACCTTCATATAGCTTTTAAATGTATATATGTACTCAACAATTTTGGATGTTCTCTTCCTTTCAT